AAGCGCATGTGCAAGAATATCAAACGATAGAACAAGAAGTTCATGAGCTTGAGCTTGCCGAAAGCCCTCAAGTCTTGCCTCAAGATTTGTCCGTAGCGCATGACTTTCTTGATCAAGATTCTCAAGTATCTACTGCGCAGAGCAAAATAAGTTCGTCTAGAGTAATCACTTGAGTAAAGGAAAATCCCAGTTTACTTCGAAAAAAGACAACCAAAAGTCTTCCTGATTTCGATAAAAATATCCTGGATTTTCTCCTGGTTTTAAGTGAGAATCTCCTGGTCAACTCCCGGTTTTTTTGCGGAAAACTCCTGGTTTTGAAAATTTGGATTTGGCAGCCCTGATTCACATTCTTCTGTGATGGGTCGAAACGACAACTATTGACTTGCCATCATCTGAAGATTCTGAAGATGTTTTAATCTGTTTGAAGTTAGTTTTGACTTTCTTATTAAGTTATTAGAGTATAGCTTTTCTTTGTATATTTCTATCAAGTTACGACATGATCAATCGGTAAATCAGAGTATAGTTAGAAGAAAATTACTTAAGATTAGGAATCGGTAGTAGAGAGCTGCGGGCCAGTTTAGACCCTGATTCTGTCATATCCAGTTTCAGAACATAAATTTTTGCCGGGTCCGGGTCCGGGTCCGGGTCTAAAATTTAATTTATTCTCGGGTCCGGGTCCCAGTTCATAGCAAGGCGAACTCGCAGCTCTCTAACTCCTGATATTCCCAAAAAAGCTCGGATCTGGTCGGGCTCGGATTTAGACCCGAGCCCAATCGGCTCTAGACCCAGCCGGATTTGTGTTGGGTTTGGGTTCGGGTCTAGAATTCAATTTGTTGTTGGATTCAGATTCAAAAATACGTGGACCAACAACCCTCTGCTCGGTAGCCTCACGAGTTACATCCACAGAACATGAGATTGAAATTTCAAAGCTTTCCTCTAGATGCGAAGTTTTCTTTTCTCAAACTAAAATGCATGCAATCAAAACCAATATTTTCAATGTGCTTCAAGTAAATTAAGATAAATCTAACATCAAAATTAACTTATTCAAAACTTACTATCACAAAATAGATATTATGTATATATTAATTTTTCAGAATCACGTTGCTCATGAATGATCAAATCCATATGCTATTATGTTTGTTCTAGATTACTGCATTTTTTTTCGATTATTTTTTCAAATGACAGCCAAGATTCAAGACTGGTTGATTACTAAATCTTCACCAAATAAACAAGCTTTTTCTTTTGAAAATACTTTCCAAATGACGAAAAATGAAAATCTTTTGGATGCAGTTAAAAGACTGTTTGAATATTTTCATTTATTTATTCGAAGTCAAACGGAACAGACCATCTTCAATGATCTTGAACACATTATGCAATATACAATAAACGATATACAAATTATAAGAAACCCGGATAAATTCTCGCAAAGAATTGGTGCTTATTTCTATGTTTATCGTCGAACAGCAGAATATATCTGGTCGAGAAACGATAAATCATCATTGCAAGGTTTCCAAAAAATATTGTTCAATCAACTGACAGAAGTATTCGTTGAAACAAATGGTACGGAACCTAATATTTGTATAACTGACAAAAATATTTTACGTTATTTGAATATCTGGCAACATTTGTCATCCATTACAAGAATTACAAATAAACAAGAGTTAAATACTTTTCTTGTCCTGTGCAAATTATCAATGCAATCTTCAGTGATAACATTGGATAAATCAAGTACTTTAAAGTGGATAAATGCTGTATCACAAATCATTGAAATTAAAATCGACTTGGAATTCTTTATTAAACAATATCTTACATATAAAGATGCATTTAAAGATTTTCCCATATGTATAAACGAATATGTTTATCTCATAAATAAAATGCGTCCAAAAAAATCAAAAGCTTCGTTATTGAATTTGTTTATTGAGCTGAGTCAAAAGTTAAATTTTCAAGATGCAGTATTTCTGGAGCACTTTAAACGTACGTTCGATACGGACATCAGTATGAAATATCATGAACATACGCATATTTTTGAATTTTTGGCGTCTATCAGTGTACTAGATCAGTTATTCTTCGAGTATTTATCTATTTATTCATCAAAGATAGATGAAAAAATTCTCTGGCTTTTATATTTGAATCTAAGCAAAAATATTGATCTTAATGAAAACATAAGACAACATATTGCTTCACTTTTGTCAAAACGCATTTCTACAGTATCTCTTAATGCATTTTACGGATTCATTGATTTAGCCCGAAATTACTTACAAAGTATCAAATCTAAAAATCTTCCATATTTTATAGAAATATTCGAACATGTATGCGAAGCTTTTGTTTACAAGCAAACTCAAGATGAGTACTGTTTATATCAGTTGACAAAACACGAGTTGAAAACTCTGCTCAATATTAATCTTTTGTCCACGTCATCGATTGATATTCAAAAACCTTTTCGTTTACGTATTATTCAAAAATTATTATTTAGTACATCCCCTGGTAAATTGCACAATATGCCTGAAAAGATCAAGTCCATATTCGAAAATTTAAATGATTTTGATAGAAATATATGTGATACTTTTGATCCTGCAGTTATAATTGAAGATGAATGGCTTAAGGATTTCCTCATCAACTTTCCAGATATTTGGTCCAAATTCAGTTGCGACATTTACAGGTATATGGGTGACAATCATCATAATAATCGTTGGACAATTCATATTTGGTCAAGAATCATACAATTAAGCCTTTCAAAAGCACCACAAGATAAAGCAAATGTAATTCTAAATAACATGACTGAATGGATGAGTGTTGTTCATCATGATATTTATAATCCTAATGATATTTTGACAATTATTCTTGTCGTTAAATTATTCGAAATCATCATCGCAAGTCACAATAAATCTATATTTTCATTTCCAAACATTCAGACAATAATTCAGTACGTCTTTTCTATTCGAGAAAGACAACCAGACATCATTAATGTAAATTTAGTTGATAACTTTATTCAAAATGGTTGTCAAGACATTGAAAACATTTTACAATTACAGGGTAAGTTAGTCTAGTATGCGGGATATAACTTCATTAGAAAAATTCATTGTGCTCCATTTCAGCTCACAGTTCTTTTAACTCAAAAGGCTTTTCCAAAAACCAAAACGATCTAAAAAATTTAAAGTGATGTATTTATGGGTTTTACAAGTCTAGAAATAATGTTGATCATTTAATTATTTAAGCGTTTCAGTTCAAAACTCAGAAAACTATGTCTATTTTGAGATCAACGCACGAATTAAATTTCCAATTATTTAAAAACGCCATGGTTTCAGGATATTTTCGATAGTTTCCACCACGTTCTTGCTCCAACGAAGATCTAATATAGGATATATTCTATTACAAAGAAGACGTTTAATCAAAGTTGTATAATCATCCAGAGGATATGAAAGAAGTTTTATCAGTTTTTAATATTCAGTGACTAGCGAGAACTACGTATTTTACAGGCGGTTAAACTCCATCGGGTACGGCACCAGTCCAACATGCTCTAGCGGTATATCTGTCTGTCTGTTCCAGATCAAAGGTCGATATAAAACATATCCGGAGCTTTCTAGAAATTTTTGTGAATCAACACGTGATCTAGTTAAATCGCAGCGGTAGTATGACAAAAATCAACCACTAATATGATTCATCCTCTCAAAATGTAAAGGGTGGTCCAAAAGGCACTTTGCCAAAAATAATTCAATATCTCCAATATGGTTCAGACAAACGAGCTGATTTTTTTTCAGTGATAGAGGCATGTTCAAATTTTATATCCATAAGAACATACCTAGAGAGACCTTTTTTTAATTATATTGTTTTATCTCCTACCTGTGAAAAAGTAACATTTTTTTGTTGAGGTCAATATAGGGAACTGCGAAGTAGTCCCGGTCCCAGGACCAAAATTTGACTTTTTTGCGGGACCGAGACCGGGATCGGAACAAAAAATTTTTCATACTGATCCCGGTCAGTTTTTTATGCAATGTGTCGCCATTTATTTTATTTTTTTGACAATAGTAATGGCGACTCAGTATAAATAATCAATTCGATAATAAATCCATTAGATAGAACAGTAGATATAAAAGAAGAGAGAAATGAGTAAATGACTACTAAGAAGTACATGAGAATTTATAACAAAATTCAATGGTAATTTTTATTTATTCGAGTTTTCAATGGAATTCCTTTACTTTAACACGGAATATAAAAGAATTCTCGTACTGTTAACGAATCAAAATCATTCATGTCAATTTTATGCATTTATAAAAGTGCATAGATCGTAAAAAAAATTATTCGATTTTAGGAATGAAGCCAATGTTAAAGACCGGGACCGGGACTGGAAAAAAATTTGACCGGGACCGGGACTAACAAAAATATTTGACCGGGACCGGGAGCGGGACTAAAAAAAGTGATTTTGCAGTTCCCTAGTCAAATGATAGAGGATCTTATGTTGATTCAAAATAGATAAAAACTTATGTCATACGATGACGTATTTTTAAATACGTTTCTGAATAATTTCGAATTTAAAGTTTGAATCACTTTATAGTCTTCAGCTCGTATTTCAAGAATTTGTTAATATTATTTCTGTAATTCTGACCTTCCTCGCGATTGATCGGTTACAAATCATTATTTCGATCAGAACAACGGTTTTTCTATCGACAATATTTCTATATAATGTTGACTTTTTTAAACAGAGTGAAAATATAGTGAAATCACTCTATGACTAAACTTTCAGCGCTTTAACTTTATTTTCTCATGACATATATATGTGTACAAAATACCAAACAACGACAATTTTTCTGTATGCTTGACAGTATTGGTCAACTTTTTAACAGTTCATTCATTTTCAACTTATATTCTTATGAGGGATGATAACCATATTAATATGATATTGATATTAGTTTCGAGAAATCAATTAGAAACCCATGGTGTTCTTTTTTGTTGGGAAAAGGTTATATCTGAAAAGCAACGATGTTTTTCAAAGTTTGATCAAAATCTGTCCGAGTTCAGAAATTCCAGTCTATAATGAGTTTCACAAAATCGTTGAGCTTAACTTTTCTTGACCAGTTACTATTATCAATTGCTATTGATATTGCTACATTCCAGCAATTCTATATGCTGATTCCAAATATTCTATTATTTTTGTCTCCGATGGTAACTTTCTAACTAGAAAAACTGCTGAATACCCGTCAAAAAAAACATAAAATCATATCTAGAAATTTGTCATATGGTCTTTCTGAATAAATAATATTTGAAGATTATTAAAACAAATAATCCTAACTCTTCAATGCTGAAAACACTCACTTCATGCTTAGTGCAATGAATTCATTACATTACAATAATTCCATGTACTTAATTCTGACGACTCGTATGTGAATTAGTACGAAACATACATTCTAAAGATTTTGTCGTCACAATCCGAAAAAAATTTTTTCAAATAGTTAAAATTTCTAAAATCAAATTTCGAAAGATGTCCTCTAATTCTATTAACACTTAGCTAGTTTCATCTAAACATTTCATGCATCCATACCTTGTTTTCGAGTTTTTTTTTTCTTTCGTTATCTTGTTTTTTTTGAGAATTTCGATTTCTCGAGTTTTTGTTTTATTCGATCCTTTTACATCATACCATTTCAACAAGATAATGAGAAAAATGTGTGTTTTTTATTAAAAAATTAAGATAATAAATTGAAATGTAATAAAACGAATTTATCTTTTGATTACATCAGATAATTGTCCGATCAGACTCATTATAATCTAAGAAAAATATGAAATTTTTCATATTATATCATATATTTTCGCTTAATTTAGTAAAATAAATATTGAATGATAGACATAATATCTCTTTTTCTTTTTGTATTTAGATCTTTAGTCATAAATCGAATCGAAATGAAAGTTCATCTTAACAATCAAAGACAAAAAAAAAAAGACAAAAAAATAGCATGTACAAACAGAAATGTAAGGATATATCTAGACTAGAGATTATCATAATTAATTATCTGAATCATTATCAAAAATAATTTCTTTCGTTTTCTTTATTTTTGATTGATTATTTTGTTTATTACTATTGATTGATGTTGGTACGATAAATGCATCAAGAATTTCTCCGTCAACCATATCATAATCAATAGGTGTTGCATGTGGATGAAGTGTATCACCATCAAATTCAAATCGAATATTATCTGATTTAACATCACGTTTGTATGCATTAAATATTATTTCAAAATGATCTGTATCCATCATTGTATATTCACGTTTCGGTATGAAAGATGAACGACGACGACCTAAATAGGAAAAGATCCATATCGTTTTGTTTTTCTTTTTTTTTTTCAAATTGATTCAATGTGATGTATATATTTACCTGAAGATTTAGAAGATGTTTGAATAAATATTTTAAGTTTACGTACTAATGGATAAGATTCAAGTAATTGAATATTATTTGATGAAAAATTCAATTGTTTAAGTGTCATTAATTGATTATTATCATCTAATTTTAATGTTTGATTATTATAAACAAGATATATTGATGGTAAAGATAAACGTTCAGCTACTTGATCATGAAGATCTTTTAATGTTATTGATGATGGTAATAATAATGTTAATTGACGTCCATCAGAATGATCAATATTTAATGTTATTCTATCAAATGAAAGTGTTTTAACTGGATCATTCGCATCTATACCACTGGATATGTCTAAAATAAATATTAAAATTGAAAAAAAATTTTTTTTTTTGTTAACCATCAGTAATATGTACCGATTGTGTAGACTCAGCATTACTTTCCTTAGAGAGGGCAAGTTGTAGTATTCATCAAATGGTTAACATTTTTATTTTTTATTTAAAGACACTCATACCGCCCGTTCAAATGTTTTCTCATTTCTTATTATTAGTTTTCATTGAAGGAAAACCAATATCGAAATTAGAACATTAATCATAGTGTCTTTCTTTTATGTGCATAGAGAAAGACTCGAACCATGGTCCTCACATTCAATATCGATGTAGACCATTCAACTAAACATGTTCATAAAATAAAAGATATATTCTCACTTGTTTTTATCGGTTCATTTTCTTGTTCTTCTTCTTCATCATCGATCGAATCAATTTGTTTTTCACATAAAGGTTTTGTAACACGTAATACAGCATCTAATCGATTATAAGCAGCAGTTTCACGTGTAACTTTTTCATCATTTTCTTCTAATTGACTTTTATTTAATAAATTCATTTTTGCTCTAAAAAAACAAATGAATTAAATAGTCAAATGATTAATTTTTAGCAATTTTTTACCTGCTAATATGTCTATTTCGATTTTGATGCATAATATGTGTTAAATATTCATCTTCATCTTCACATTCTTGATCATCAGCTGCAGTTCGTTTTCCTAATTTAATTTTTCGTTTAACTTCTTTATTTGATGATGTAAAACATGATGTAACAATAGCATCAATTTCATTTTTAATTAAATCTTTATTTTTTATTGTTTCAGTTTCGATAATAATTGGTTGAACGGGAATATTAACAGATGTTGATTTCGGTTTTTTTATTGAAATTAAATCATTTTCACTATCTGAATCTGAATTACTGGAACTTGATATTTCCTTAGAAGTGACAGGACTAAATCAATAAATACATTTTTTTTTTCTATTTAATTAAAAAAAAATATTTAAAAAAGTAAATTACGCTTGCAAAAATTGTTTTAATTGTGTACGTTTATTATTTAATGATTTCGCTGTTTGATAAGCAAAAAAGTCATCTTCATCATCTTCCATTAAGTTTTTTGTGTCTATTATAAAAAAAAAAGGTTTAAAATACAAAAAAAGAAAGGAACATATATTCACAAACGATTGGTTCAATAACAATGGTCATTAAATATATGAATCTTAATTTATTCGTATGACTTTTATTTTAAAATGAGAAAATTTAAAATTTTTTAAAGATTTCATATAATAACATTGAAGTTTGATTGTTTTTTTTTTTCTTTGATATGTTGTCTTCATTGGTGAACGTAACTATGGTAACAAAGTGATGAATGGCAGAGATATTCAAACAAAAAAAGAATAATAATAAAGAATTTATTTAAAAGACAAGAATGTCTATATCACCACCTGAAGCTCCACCATATCCAACAACACCAGAAGATGATCGTGAAAATGATGAAACATCTGCAGCTGCTTATGCAGAAATATTGGTTTGTTTTATTAATTAAATTTAACAAAAATAAAAAAATGAATTGATTTTTATTTTTTCTATCATTTAGTCATTTCAATGGTGTTTTGGTTTTAATAAAGATTTGCCAGTACTTAATTTATCAATAAATAATACAAAAAAAATCTTTTTTATTGCTGCACAAATTGGAGTTTTATATGATTTTGCTTATAATCGACAACAATTATTAATTGGACATGTAAAATTATTTACACAATAATAATAATTAGAAAAATAAATTAATTTCTTTGTTTTTTCTTTTTATCTTATTATATTTTTAGAGAAATAATATAACATGTTGTTGTATTAGTAATGATAAACGTTGGTTATGTACAGCTGATAGTGGTCGAGATTGTACAATTATTATTTGGGATACAATAACTGGGTTCGTTAGGAATTTTTATTTTTGTAATTTTTATTCTTTTCTTTTTCTGTATATTTAGATTACCGAATCAAACTTATTTCGATGTCATTAATGGAACAGGAGCAGTAGCATTTAGTAGTGATGCAAAATATTTAGCGACATTAAGTCAACAAGCTCCTCAAGTAAAATATAATTTGATAGTTTATTTTTGTTTCTATAGAAAAATAATAATATTTATTGAATAGATAATGTCAATATGGGATTGGACAGCTGAAGGTGATAGACCAATATGTGCATTAGAATTAAAAAATGATTATTCAAATCAACATTATTTACAATTTAATCCACGTCAATCAACACAATTAGTATCAAATTCAACAACACAAGTTATTTTTTATGAATGGTCACATGAAAATGGTTTAAATTATTATGATCCTGAATTAACTGAAAGAGTAAGAAAAAAAAAATGGATTTATAAAAGAAAAAAGAAATATTCGACATTTTTTTTTTTTCTTTAGACATTTAATACATCACGTGAAAAACTTGGTTATTTAACTCAATCAGTTTTTCTTCTTCATCCAACACGAGTTGTAACAGGTACAACAACAGGAAAACTTGTTCTTTGGGATTGTAAAACAAATGGAAATATGTTTGAAATGAATAAAAATCAACCGAATATAGTTCAACAAAATGATCTCTCACGTCAATCAACAAAAATAACAGAAAATAGAGAATTTACACGTGATACATTAAAATCATCAACATCAACACGTAGTGGAACTTTATCATCAAGAAAATCTTCAGCTAAAACAAATGAACAAATCGATCAAGATGATGAAGAAAAAACCTACAAACAAATACCATTTAATGAACCACAACAACAGACAAATAGTAAGATTCGGCTTTTCCTTTTCTCTTTTAAATATACTATAAATTACTGATTAGTTGACTATCTAAAACTCTGACTGATTTCATTTGAGAAACGTTATGTTTTAAAATGAAAATATTCTTCTTCAATTTTTGTCATAAGATTAAAATCATATCCATTTTTTGTTGTGTATCAAAAAATGATCTATTTTCTAAATTCTAATATAGTATTCAGTGCATTGAGTCTGAAGTATGAACAATCTTCGAAAGTATTATTCGAAAAAAAACTCATCTAGTCAGAACGAAATTTGATTATTGCAGTTACATTTTCTCTTTACTCTAGTTCAAAATAATGAAGAACGATCAGAATTTTCCTATATGAATAAGCGAGCATTAAAATTATGTGAACCACAACAAAAAGCAATTACTGTTTTAGCAACAACTAATGAGTACGTAATACTTTTATTCAACAAAAGAAAAAAAATAGTTTTCATAAAATCTTTTTTTCGTAGCCTTGTGGTAACAGGTGACATTGATGGTGTAATTCGTTTTTTTGATCAAGAACTTAAATTACGTATGTGGTTTGAAAATTATCGTATTGGACCAATTGAATCAATATCATTTACATATACAACATCTGATTATTCTCCTCCATATATAACAAATCCAACACATAAACATAATGAATCAACATTAACACAAACTCCATTTTCATCATATGATTTTATATTATCATCATCTCATGCTGTTATTGCTCATGTAACTCATTCTGGTCAACAAATATCAATTATAAAACGTGATTCTTCAACAGCTGTTTATGCATTGGATACTCATCCATTTGAACATAAACTATGTTTTGCTAATGCATCTGGTCGTTTACAATTATGGGATTATCAACAAAAAATGATTATAACAAGTGTTCAACATGCACATGATAATGCTATTACACAATTACGTTATAATCATAATGCAAATTTTATTGCTGTTGGTTATTCTAATGGACAATTAACATTATGTGATGCTTTATCATTAGAAAGTATTCTTAAAGCACCATTTCAATATGCTAAAGCAGCTATTCTTTTTATTGAATTTTCACAAACATCGACTTATTTAGCAACAGCGGTAAGAATAGATTTTATTTTTTCGTTGACTTCTAAAAATTATTTTAAAACATGGCTTCACAGTTAAAGTTTATCTCAAGTTATGTATTCAGAAGTTAAGTTATAACATTGATATATTTTGTTTAATAGTTAAAAGACAAAATAAAAACTCGTACAAAGATTTTAGTTGAAGCATTGGAAAAATATAAATTATAGGTATTAAACTTAAATTCTTATGAAAATATGATTAATATGAATACACTTAAATTTAATAACACTTACATTGAGATGATTAGTTCTTTAGAAAAAAGTCTTTTTAACGTTAAATGATTCAGTTTGTATTTGTCATATTAAGAAAAAAAGAACACCAGCACATATTTAGAAACTTTATCAGACCAAAAAATTTCTCCTCGATTGATTTTATAGTTCTTATCTATATTCATTATTAGAAATAATTATCGAACAGTTGCTTTGTTCATCTAATACACAATTAATCAGTCGTAGTTTTGTTTAATTTCACTTTTATTTATTGTTAGATGAACATCGAAAAATGAACTATCTGGCTCACAAAGGCTAAAATTTGCTTCATTTTCTCAGTCACAATAATTACCATAGAGCTGGAATTTTTGTTTACAGATACTTAACATTGTTTAGAATACCTAAATTCTATTGTTTTTTTTTGTTTTTTTATTCTTTTACATTCGAATAAAAGTATCAAAGACTTGTCTTGCACAATCAGCAGTGCTATATTTTTCAAAGAAAAAAGAAAGCAAGGCATCCCAAACAGTCTTCAGTGCCTGTAAAAAAAAAACTTTCAGTTCGATCGGACGTACTATCTTGGAGAAACGAGAGAGCGATTCTACATCTTTTTTCTGTGTAGAAATTGATTTCACGGAAAAAAGAAAAACAAATTTTCCTGTATGTATAAAGGATTTTTTCTCCAATGAAAATGATCGCAAATTGGCCGTGTTCAGCGGTGTTAGAGATTTATGACCCATGCTCTCAGCATCTTTGCAGTAATAAATAATTATTATCATTAGAAGACTTTTGCATACAATGCTAAGGATTTCAAGAGTTAGGGTTAATAAAAATACTAACTAACAACAATAAACTCTCATGTATATGGCATTTGACAAAGAACATTTCGAGATGATATCGAAAATTGAAAAAAAAATTGATTTTAACTTCCGAAAAGCGGATGATCCCCTTATAGGCCAGTTGGTTGTTTTTTTTTATATAATTATGATGAATATTTTTTTCTAGGAAGACGATTATACAGTATCTGTTTATCGTCAAAATTTGGACAGTGAAGATATATATACATTTCTTGGTCGTTATCGTGCACATTATAAACCAGTTCGAACATTATTTTTTGGTTTAACACCTGATGATAATCAACCAATATTAACTACAATTGGTAAGACAAAAAAAAATTAATTTTCTTTTTCTACAATTTAAACATTTACAAACTTCTTTTTTTTTGTCTTTTTCTTAGGTGCTGATCGTATATTAGCTGAATATGATTTAAATGAAAGTGAAATTGATCATCTTGCTTTAAAACCATCGACACGTATTGAACAAATAGCTGAACCAATGTCAGCTTGTTATTATCCATCATCATTAACAAAAGAATCATTTCTTGTTACAGTTAATAATGAATATAAATATAAATTATATAATTCCGGTACAAAAATGTGTCGAAAAACAGTTTTAGGTCCAACATTTGGTTCACCAATACGTAAAATTGGAATTCTACCAAAATTAGATGAAAATTCAAATGAAGAATATATTTATTTTATAACAACAGATAAAATAGGTCTTCAACGTTTACCATTAACTGGTAATCCATATGATCAAATGGCTATAATAGCACATCCAAATCGTGTAAGTGATATACGTTCTAGTTATGATGGACAATATTTATTTACAAGTGGTGGACTTGATAATGTTGTACACATGTTACATGTTAATCCAGAAGTTTTACAAGCACAAGCACAATTAGGTGGAAAAGATTTAATACCATTTTATAAATTATTAGAAGGTGGAAGAGATGGAGAAATTTTTCGAGAAATGCAAGATTTATTTTATTACAGTCAATTACGATAGTAAGTTATAGTTGCTCTTAAATTTTATCTAAATTAATGCTTTCATTGACGTTCATTCATAGATTATAAAAATTTCTAAAAGATCACGACTTTTGTTTATAACAAAAACTTTTCTAAAATGAAGTTTCTATTGTAGAAATGAAACCATTTCGAATAGGTCCAACTGACAGATCGACCAGTCTAAATTTCGTACGTTTTCCATCTTTAGATAGAGTCATTTGATGTAATCAACATTCCAATAACGATCAGTCTACTGGCAAGCAGCTAGTCTGAACTTCAAACCTAAATGAAGCTGCAATGATTTTTCGTACTATATTCCATCTGTGATTAATTATATTTGACGTAGTCAGATTTCAACAAAGTTTCATTACACATCCTCTATGAGAGATAATCAGAGCAAAAAAATAAATAAAACATATAGGTAATGACCGATCTATCGACGACCAGTCGGTAACTAATACTAGTTCTATCACTGTAATATTTCTGTTCTTCAATAGACTATAATACGGCTTGTCCAAACATAACGCTGTGACATTTTTGACAAATTGCTTTGCAGTTATCTCGAAAGGCATAAGAGCTACTAAGGTCATTCAAACATCATTTGACGCAGCTTATCATACTCTATTCATGTTGCAAGAACAATCTAGTTTGACTGAACTATCGCACTTCTAGAAAGGTTTTATCATCGCGTAACGCTGTGACAAAAAAGGACCCTTTTTCTCTAGAGCTGCTTATAAAACTCTAATTTTTTGACAAAGTATTTCTTCAAATGAATTGCTTATGGTCCCAGTTTTGTAGAGAATTGAATGGGCTTTCAAGCAGTAAAAAATATTTTTTCTAAACTATTTTTGCTTAGATAAANGTTTGTTTTCAGTTTCTATGCATTTGAGAACAACTGGTCACCAGACTCTGTTGTTTTCAAAAAAATGCGTCAGTTTCAACGGTTTTTTGAGCATAACTGAATGATCAAGTTAGTTCCTTTCTAAATCGAGAAGCACCACATCTCAAATTATGTATATTGATGTTTTTCAAAAGCTCCTAAGTTAAAGTCCCCACTTGGTCACCAGTATCTACTTATTTGTTTATAGTCCACAAATGTAGAATTCGGTTTAGACACTGATTTAGGGAACCACAATTTCTAGTAAATGATAACCTACCCATAAGATTAGCTAGTCCGAGTCTCTTCTATCCGTCATCGTTTTCATATTTATTCTATTTCTGGTGACCAGAAAATATAGTTGTACTTCTTTTCTTGGTCAACCAAATATCTTCAAATATCTTCAAATATTTACTAATGATTTTCATTTTCCTATTTATTCTATTTCTGGTGACCAGCATAGACTGATTGACAAAATAATTTTTGCTAAAATCCTTGCTTTCCATGGTACAAGATGCTTGGTATGGTAGAAGCAGGATGGCAATTGATGACAATATGTATTGCATGTGTTATATTAAAAAAAAATCCCTAAATTGAAAAATCCCTAAATTAAAATCCCTATTTGGTCACCAGTATGAACGTTACTTGATTAATTATCCATAAATGTGGATTTCATTTAGGGATGAATTCAGGGAACCTGATTTGTGGAAAATGATAACCTACCATGGAAGTCATATCTTCAATAGAGAAGAATACTAATAGATTTACATTTTATTTCACATAGATGACCACGAATACTTTCGATGGCCAAATGTATTTTAAGTGCACGATCATCTTCATCGGAATAATCATTTAAATGTGTGTATTCTTGAATTCTGATGATCAAATCATTTTGTTCTCTTTCTCATTGTGCACTCGTATAGAGGAGACTAGATTCAGTATCCTTGAGTAAAATAGAATATTGATTGAATTGCAGCATTAACCTTACCTATTTGATATTTGCCAAAAAAACTAACTTCAGCATAATTGATATACACTTTTAGGAGAAATAACTAAAAATCATGGATTTGTACGATGAATAGTGTTCAATTAGTTTTAAATCACTGGTTCTTATATAAACAGTCTTCTTCCATTTCTTCTTCATCCGTTCTCTGTTCAATCTCTGTATTACATATCATTACAAAATCATGCATTCAATTATTGTTGTTGATAGTAGAAGACTTCCATCATAATTCTTTGAAACGACCAAAAATTTGATCATATGACATTACCATGGTCTAGATATGATAAATAATGTTGCTTTCAATAAATAGAAATCTATATTTGTTTAATATTATTTCATCAAATTTCTCAACTCTCACACTTCTTTCAAGTTTTTTGCCTGTAGTAGTTATTAAATATGGCAATCATGGTCAACAAATTTTAAAGTTGCTTGAGCTTATTTTATCATGTCGGTGTTTATCAACAGTATTATAATTTTTTTGAGTAATTGTGACTTGTGACGTTCAGTCAGTATTTGTTCGTTCCCATGAGCAGAGATTATTCTTATTCTTGGTCCCATCAACTGTTTCTTGTTGTTTACAGGACTTTTATATTTCAAATCATATTATCACTTACTATATCAAATATATAATTAGCCTTAATATGACCATAAGCTATAGATTTCTTATGTAAAACAATAATAGAAGAAATACTAGTGCTCGATGCCATCCTAAAGCGCAGATAATAGAAGAATATTTATTTAACCAACTGAAATTGTGCTCAGTAGCTTCCATGTTCACTTGAATAAGTACTATAAATTCTAAATGTATTTAGAACTTCATCAAACGATAATTCACATCTACTATCAGTTTGATTCATATTAGCAACACACCATTTTCCAACACAGTTTTTTAAATATGTTCTATTAACATGGAATTTAACATTCGATTGAATTAGTGCTTCATTTTATACTTTCGAATCTTTCCTAATATGATTATGTAACTATGGTATCAAATAAAAAATCATCGTCGTAGCAATTAGCAGGTAATGATTTATCTGATGTCAAAATATAATATCTTTACAAATATCTAAGTACGTACTTAGATAGACTCACTCAAAATAGTTGAGAAAAGTAAATGGAGAATTTTAAGCAGTATTTCAACTCGAAAAAGTTCACAAAACGAGACAAATGCTCAACAGTTTATGAGACATGCACTCAATTGAAACGAACGTTAACAATAATGGATACATAGATTTGACTGTGCTTTGCTTGTCCGACAATCAGTAGTTCCAAACTCTTTTTTTCGTTGCCTTTTCGAGTTATTTTTATATGCCAACTTTCTTTCACTAAACTGAATTTTATATCTATTTGAAACTGAACTTGATGATTTCTCTGGCAATCGCTGAGCGTAATGTCGCGAACAGTAATAAGATCGAAATATAAGACTTTGATAACACTTGATCATGAGCTTCTCAGATTTATCTGTCCTAAACTTCAATATTTTTGTATCGGCAAACTCTACAATGACTCATTTATGATGCCCATCAATAATAACAGTAGCGGAATATTTATCATTACAAAGAACTGTAATCTCTTTTTTGTAAAGACCATGAGTATATAAACGAAGAGAGCATTTTTGGATAATTTTTTCATAACCATTTATCAAAATCATACAATGAAATTGGAGTTATAATCTTTGAGCAACCCATCGTTAAATGTAATTAACACACATTGTACATAAATAGAGTTTGTCCTAATTGCTTCCAATATAAGGGTTGTAATTGCTCTAAATATTCATTAAATGCTTCTAAATTACGACTATCAAAATGTCTCCAACACGATCTTGCATTATTCACCATGTTACATGAATAAGTACTGATGACACATATTCCAACTACGTTATGATCACCCATATTTATATATGAGTCTGCTATGGTATGATGATATAAATGAATAAATATATGCTTCACTGACATCTATACAATTCGGGAAGACAAAGTAGTTGAATGATTTTTTTGCGTTCTTCAAAATGCTCACATTCAACCCAAAAACAGTCCCTAGAAAACACAGTTTATTTCAAGTAAAAATGCACAGCACACCTTAACTTACTGAATAATACTTTCCCTTGTTCACATATAACTTTACCATTAATGAGTATGACTATTATTTTCTGATAATTGTCGCTTTCATAGAGGAAACATATTGATGCATGGCACTAATGGATAATACTTTTATTTTCGATGGATTAATTATTTTCTATTAATTAAACTGAGATAGTCTACATAAAGTATAATGTACTTACTATATTGTTGAATAAGAATACTCATATTCATGTTGAGCGCTATATATTGAAAATGTTTTAACACATGAATAAGTTCATCTGATATTTTTCACTTACCCTCAATCAAAAATTAATGACAAATGTCACTTAAATTTTTTACATTAAGACCAGATATACCAAATTTCCCTAACATGCGTTCAAGTTTCATTTGATCATGTGTTGAAATTAGATCAGATAAATTTTCAATATAAACATACATTCATTTCCAATTGAAGAAGCTTTTCTTTATTACAATTATAAGATCTACGTCAATCAATTTAGCTAATACTCAACTAAGAATACTAGTCGATATTTTCATAACTCTGTCGGCATAATGATTAGATGATATGAGAATAATAAAACAAAAAAGGATCACTTGAGACTTTATTTTAGTTGGGGCGCTAAAGTATAAAAAGACCTTTTTTTGTTTTAGATTTTATTAAGCACGAAGTAAATCCACAGTGAGTACGAATTTTATCATTTTATTTTGTTTTTGTTTTATGGTATTTTTACTTATTTTATTTTATTTTTTTTATCTAATTTTATTTTTATTTAATTTATTTTTATCTTATCTAATTTTATTTTTATTGTTTTATTTTATTGTATTTTTATTTAATTTTATTGTATTTTTATTTATTTTATTTTTAATAAATTTAGTTTTTATTAAATTAAATTTTTATTTAAATGTGAATTCATGACGATTCCATCGGATTCTAACTGTATCCGACAACTTCCGATAGGATCCTGTCGGAAGTTGTCGGAATCTCCAGGGAATCCGATCGGATCCGACTGCCGGATTCTTCGTCCTGGGAAGGTTAGCTT